TTCAAAGACCTCACGTCCTCTTCTCTCGTGGTTGGCGATCCCCTACACTTTTTAGATTTTTCGGGCTCCACCCAAGTCACAGACCCTATTCCCTCTTGAGTATATGACTAGCTTCTTGTTTACTTTCAGAAGGGATACCATTTCAGGACCCTTCATAAAGCGGGATTCTGTGAGATTTGGAGTAACCAGGGTATGGATTGGCAGGGTCCGTCGTCATGGGCACATCGCAACGAGATCGTCTCCTGTGCAACTTCGGATATTATGGTAGGATCCTCTTGCTGTGAGGGATGAGGGGTTTGGCACGACCGATTGAACTGTCACACAGGCAACAATTTAGTTCCAACTCGCTTGTGACGATGGTATGCGATGATCCATGTAGGCGTTACCCTTGCGGTCACGACGACCATCTTGTCGAACTGGCAGGGTCCGTCGTCATGGGCACATCGCAACGAGATCGTCTCCTGTGCAACTTCGGATATTATGGTAGGATCCTCTTGCTGTGAGGGATGAGGGGTTTGGCACGACCGATTGAACTGTCACACAGGCAACAATTTAGTTCCAACTCGCTTGTGACGATGGTATGCGATGATCCATGTAGGCGTTACCCTTGCGGTCACGACGACCATCTTGTCGAACGGACGAAGGTGACGTATCCGTACATGGTCGTCAAGAGTCTGCAGTGTGGGAAGTCTACTCCTGATGAGGACTAGGCGCGAAGTCTTCTGCTAAACCAATCCAAGTTTGGGAAAGGAGTAATAGGGACATGTTAGAGGTCGGATAAAGCCCTTCCTTGCATTTTGCGATATAAGTAAAGAAGCCACGGACGGAGGGAGGCGACGTTGCTTAGTGGACGTCACTCCTCCCATTCTTGGCTTCTTTATTTGGGTCGGGAAGTTAGAAAGAGCCATTCAACTTCAAATATGTCATTTTCAAAAATTGGGTCAGGTTTTTGTTTCTAATCCTGTTCTAAGGTGGTGGATTTAGCTGAAAACCCCATCCGGAAGAAGGTTCGACATGCTGAACCCGAATATTAAATCGATCACGCTTAAAAATCATTGGCACTGGACCTCGGATGCCAGAGTCTACGGCCCAACAACATTCGTTTTCATTGTGTTGAATTTTAGCCAGAGGAAGTTTTGACAAAATTCACCACAGCAACAGAATCCAGAAGGGATCGCGCCGTATATTAAAAAAGTGGAATTGCAACAGATGAATAGTGCTGTCAAGATTTTTGAACTTGGGTTTTGCGTGGAGGTTTTGGTTGCACTCCAAAATATGGGTTTCCCCACGGAATCGAAGATGCGGCGATTGATTGTTTTTTGATTGATCGATTGTTCCTAGTAATTTGTGGCAGTTGATTTTCACTTGTCGTCCGTAAAGAGATTTTTCTGATAACGCATGTTAGAGGCTGATTCCGCTCGCAGAATTTGGAAATTAATTTCGGAAAACAAAAGTAAACAGGCGGACTTGGTCTCTAGGATCGCAGTTCTGTTTATGTGGTTGTTTATCTATGTAATTAATGAGTGAGTTTGAATGTAAAGTTGTGAGTGTGTACGAAAAAGTGTGCACGGTTCTATGTGCTGATCGTCGTGCAGAGTCAGCTATGCGGTGGGGCATTTTTACAAGGAGGGGGATGGGGGTAGGATAGGGTTGGACCCGGGTCCGGGAACTTCTCCCCTAACACNGCACCCGCCGCCTATCGCAGGATTGCGATGGAAGTTTGGAGCGCGCAATTTGTGAGGTAGGGAGTCCTTTAATTATTTGAATTGGCTGACCGCTTTCTTCAATTTCAATGCAGTCTTGATCGCCGCTTACTTAGGAGGAGTCATTTTAATTAATCAAGTCTAATAAACATGAAAACTAAGAAGAAACAGAAGAAAAAACGATAAAATCCAATAAAAAAGCAAGCTAGACAAGGAAAAATATCGCGTCCTATCGATCGGCGGGAGGCGAGGTGAGTACGGTAACTGCAGTGACATTTGCCGCATGCCGCAAGGGAGAATGCCGCGATAGGGGAGAAGTTCCGTTACCCGGTTGGACCCTGACAGTCTTAGTTCCCTGGCTCATTCGACTTGAACTGGGTTGGATCTTATGGAGACATTCATAGGGTATCACCCTCTATTTCAGAGAAGGTGTGTGTGTTAAGTGCAAAAAGTTTGAAAGAAATTTGTAACTTTACGGAGAAGTTGGAGGGGAATAGGAGTCGAGGGCAACAAAGCCACTCAAATGGGAGGCTACGGAATAGTTACGGTCCTCGATATGCTGTATTCTTGGTTTCTTTGAACTTTCGCTCTGCTCCTGAAATTGAATCCGAGTTTCAGTAAATGGACCTCCTCCACCAAGCTACGAAGAGGCAGTTCAGGGGACAGGAGGCACCAGCATGGACACCGATGATATGGAGGTTAATATATGTCTTTCATGTTGTATGATAGTATTGGACCGTTCTTTGACTTTGATTACTTCAGCCTTTTGTCCCTCGTTATCCATTCTATCCGCGGTTGACGGATATCGCTTCGGAGAAGAGACGAATCGATGACACTTGCACAGCTTAAAATCGTCGAATGCACGCCATAAATCAATTTCTTACTGTTCAACCCATAGGTTGTCAATATGTAAATGTAATTTTGCAACTTTTTTATGCTTTTTATGCTTTATTTTTTTATGCTAAGATGTCTTTCCCGAAAGAGGTCTGTACAGATAGTGTGGGGCACTAACTCTTTAATAGAAACGGGTCGAGATTGGGCGTGGTTTGCCATAGTTTTTGTGAAGGACCTCTGCTTGTACAGTTTACTCGTCCATTCCGTTGGTCATTCATGTCATGACTATGTTCCTTCATCTTATTTTTTGTGTACATATTTATAGCTATGTTCTCTTTTTGTTAGAAGCTACTTAACTTCAAACAGTCTTTTGTCAATTGCTGTGACTAAACCTCTGATTCTACATGGCCCTGCTCTATTACATGATTGTATGGGTGTTGTAGGCGGAGTTATCTCGGAGAGGCGGTGCTTTTGCAACCTGACACTAAAAATTCAGACATTTTGTTGTACTATTTCCGAAATTTTCATCGCTGGAAAATCGTTCGAGCACTCCAGCTTGATTCGCTGTTGCCTATAAACTTCGTACATTGTTCATCACGGTTGGCTATGAAATCACATTACAAATTTACTTTCAAGTTTGAGAATTACTTTGAAGAGTGATTGTTTACGAGCATTTGAAACCTGAAGATTAAAGAATGAGATTCAGTGTTGATATATGTATGCCTTTCTTTTGTAATGGCAAGACGTTATCGACTGTTTCTATGCGTGTTTCGATACTTCTGTGATGGTGTATCGAAGAAAAATATTCTTTAGCCGTTTGTTTTGAAAGTTTCAGACGGTTCTATTCTCATGAGCCGCTTCACAACCGCACGCCCATTAGTCAGTATAACAGCATTATGGTGAAAATCGGGCCTGTGGAGTAAGTGAAGGTGGCTGTAGTCGTGAATCTGTCGATGTACGAATTCGGTAGTGCCCTTATGTTTTTCTTTATTTACAACTATCGTTCTATTCACTCCATTAGTGAAGGACTCTGCTCAACTTATTTTGTGGAAATGTGTTTTTTGTTTTTCTTGCTTTTTGAAGTTGAGATTTTTTTTGTTTTTGAAGGTTTTTTAGAGCTGAAGAAGCATCCTTTTATTCATGAAAGAACTCCCTGGTCGCACAGGGCCTCAGTCACCGCTTTTCTCCTGATAGCATCGGGTTGGAGGCCTTTTCAAATCACTGACGGACAGACATGACGGCATCCTGTACTGTCGCAGTACTTCAGTGAGTCTTGTGACCATGTGGATGTGATCGATTGTACTGAACCCTCCTCAAAACCCTACTTGGTCGCATGGCTGTCCTCCATCTGATTGATTTTCTGCTGAGGATAACTCTTGTGAAAAGTTTGTAGATTACAGTTAGCAGGCTCATAAGGCGGTGGCTGCCAGTATTTTTGTATCGAAGAGAGCTTGTATAAGAAGCTAAAGATGTTGCGAGAGAGAGATCAAGAAGTTAGAGAGATCGCGCCATGCTTGTGTGTACTTCATTGATTTTACTTGATTCATTGTTCTATAGACCTACGGAACTATAATCGCTATTTGAAGTTGTTTGAAAAAACATCAGACATACCGGACCTTTATACAATGTAATAATCTCATATGTAGTATCATTAGGCCGCTTTTTTTTATTGTTTGTTGTTCCTCAATTATTTTTTCGACCATCTTGTACGACGGTCTTTTTTTTCCTAAAGACTTGCCCGGTCCAAGTTTGTGAATTCGTGCATTCAGGTATGTAACATGGTCATCCCAGTTATCTCCTACGTGACTTCCAAAACACTGGTTCTATTGTTATCTGTGCTCTATTATTTATCGCTATTACAAGTCTAAGTCTTGGCGCTTACGGATCAATGATGCTCCCATAGATTACTTAGAGAAGAATATGTTACTTGTAATATTTTTTTCTATTTATTACATTAGTATTTGGGTATTTATCGCCATTCATTTCGATACAAACATCCATACATCCGCTTATATGCGTTTCATAATCCATATTGGATCAATACTCATGCCTTTTGTGTGACTGTGGACAACTTGTTTCCGGTAAGCATTCGTTCATAACCTATGTTTTCCATAGGTAACATGTGATGTCGCTCAATTGAGAGTTTTCTCCGTTTTTTTTTCTAACAGAGAAATAAATGCTCAAAGTTCCCTGTTGTGTTGAGCGTCCAAAGGGTAGGGACCTCCTCAACATTGGCAACCAATGCAGAAGCAATCTCTGGCTTGACGATTCAACTGGTGGCAAGAAAGAGCGAGAGGAGTGTAAGTAGCAATTTCTGGCTTGACGCAACGGAGAGAAGCGTTCAGATTTCACAACTAGTTTCTTTTTTGGAATCGTATGATGCAAGGCCAGTACAGAGGGAATTGAAGAATTGCTTCAACAAAGTAAGGGCAAGAAAACCACTTGATGCATTCATACTGCGACGCCGACGCCGATGTCGGCGTAATGACGCCTAGGAATAATACACTCATGTGAGAGACACTCAGACGGCAAGGCATGTATTGCTGAACATGCAACACAAGTCTTTTTTATCTTTTTGGGAAAAAACTTCTTTTTTAATACTTGAGCACCTCAGAAAAAGTAAAGCCCACCTCCCTACCGCAAAATTAAAATCAGAATAAAATCTTCCCATCAGAATCTTCCTTTTTATTCGTCCACTGTAGGTTCGCACCAGCCATGGACGAGATATTTACTGTCAGCCAGCGATTACAGCGCGATCCTGATGCCGGTACTATGAATGCGCCCAACCAAAGGGTGCGGACGAAAAGCGAAATCGCCGTTATGAAATGCTCAAGGATATGTGGTTTGGACAAGTATTCGGTGCAAAAATGCCGTAGACCCACACAAAAGTTGGCACCCGTCACCTAACTGAGAAATGGGAGCAGAAAATTCAAAAAACGAGGTAAGCT